CAGCGCCGGCATCGGCACCGGCACCGCACCGGCACCGCACCGGGACAGCACCGGCACTGCACTGGCACCGGCACCGCACCGACACCGCACCGGCACAGGCACCGGCACCGCACCGGCACCGCGCCGGCATCAGCACCGCACCGGGACCCTACCGGCACCACAGCGGCACCTCAGCGGCACCGGCATCGCATCGCACCGGCGCTGCCACCGGCACTGCACCGCAATGACAGCAGCACCAGCACTGGCACTGCACTGGCAATGGCACCGCACCGGCACCGCGGCCCCATGGCTCGGCACGGCACCGAGAGGCCCTCTGGCACGGCATGGCACAGCACCGGGGCTCCCGTGGCACAGCACAGGCCGGCACCGGGGCATCCCTGGCAAGGCACAGCACAGCACAGCACCAGGGCTTCCTGCACCCACCAAGTCTCAGGTCCTCCCAGAGACCCTCAGCACCCACCGTGTGCCACAGCTGGGAGGTGCCCTGGGGTCCCATCAAGGCACTGAGCCCCGACGAGGCTCCTGAGCTGGACTCCCACTGGGAACTCCCCAGATCTCCTCACCCACTGCCAGCCTGGCCCCTGCCCCCTCAGCCCCTCCACACCCCAAGTGCCAGCACTGCCCATGTGCCACCCCCAGCCAAACGTGTCACCGGCACAGCTCATCACCAGCGACACCACTGCTTTCCTGTGCTTCCCAGCCTCCCCGTGCTTCCCAGCCTCCTTCCTCTGGGAATTTCCATCATCTTGGGCACCATCAATATCCACACTTGGGTGCTGCGCTGGGTTGCGCCTCTCCACTGCCATTTTCCTGTTATTTCTCCCCAAAATTCTGCTGTTCCCTCCAGCCCCGCTGCCTGGGGTGCAGGGGAGCAGCCCATTGTGCCACGGAATGGCCACTGTGGGGACATGGACTGGGCAATGGGGACACCCACCAGGCCACTCTGCACTGCTGTCTCTGAAGGTGCTGTGACCCCACACTGCAGTGGCCCTGGCAGAGGGCATGGAGGTCCCACCTGCCCGGGCACCGGGGCACCCATGGGCTCTTTCATGGTGGCTGGTTTGTGCCATCTCCTGATGGTGGGGACCCCACTCTGTGTCACCCTGCGAGCCCCAAGGCAGCAGTGATGGCCCCGGGCTGTGGCCAGGGCAAGCAGTGGCATAAGGAACAGCGTGGGGACAGTGGCCCCAAAACCTTCCGGGGTGCCCCATGGGCACCCATCCCACATCCGGGAGCACAGTGCCAGGAACTCTGCCTGCGGGCACGCCTTCCCCTGCCTTCACTGCACTGTTGCCTCCTCCCAGCCTGCAGTGCCACCATCCCCCTGGTGACATGTGTCAGTGCCACCAGCTCTGGTGGCACTGGGTGACAGCCACCCCTCTGCCCTGTTTTCCCCCAGGGAGGGGACATTACAGCAGCCCCCAAAGGGTAAACAGCAGGCACAGGTCTCCTGCCCACGTGGCTGGGACCAAACCCAGCAGGGCTCCAGCTGGGGGGACTGTGGCGGTGACAAGGACCCTGTAGTGCTGGTGACAAGAACCTGGCAGGCTCTCAGAACCCCCCCAGCAGCCACATTCCTCCTGAACCTGTTTGGCAGGGCCCCGTGCAGGTGCCAAGGAAAAGGCATCTGGGTTGGGCTTTTCCTGGTCATGCCCTGCTTCACTCTGGTGCCAAGTCAACAAGGAGGAAAAGGAGTATTTGCTGAAGCCTGGTACCCTCCCATACTTCTGCTGCTGCCCCCCAGAGTCACCCGTGGCCCCAAATGCTGCTGGTGCCCCACAGTTTCTCACCCCCCTGGGAGGATCCTGCAGAAAATTGAGAAGGGGAAGAAAGAGGAGGCAGAAACAAGTGAAAAATTACCCAATTTAATCCCCAAGCCCCCCCAAGCTCCAGGGTTTCAGTAGTCCCCTGTGGCCCCCCCAGCCCCCTACCTGTGCAGCCTATAGGGCCCCCAGCTGAGCACACCCCGGGCGTGCCCCACAGCTCTGCTTGGGCGCAGAGAGAAGGAGCTTTCCAAGGCATTCAGCCTCTTCCTCCACTCCACCGGCAGCCCCATGCTGGGACCCAGCCCTCAACCCAGTCCTCACCCCACCCAGAGCCCTTAGGAAGGTGTCCTGATGAAGACCATCCTGCTGGAGTAGACCAGGTCCACCAAGTAGGCGATGAGGTTGAAGATGGTGAGGAAGGTGATCCCCAGGTGCTTGTCCCACGGGCAGCTCCTGCCGCAGGTGCTGGGGCGGCCCTTTCCCTTGAAGCTGTAGAGGGGCCAGAGGACAGTGGCAGTGATGTACATCAGCAGGGCCAGGAAGTTGTACCCCACCAGCACCTTGTCCAGCGGGCAGGGAATGTAGGCGAGGCACCGGCCGATGGTGAAGATGATGATGAGGAGGGTGAAGATGAAGCAGATGGAGTAGACAGCCACACACCACATCAGGCCGGGTTCCTTATTGTATTCATCCAGCAAGGAAAAGATAAGACAAGCCACGTAGGCTTCGAAGACCTTGAGGAGCCCAGGCACAGTGGAGAGGAAGCTGCTGATGTCCCCGGGCTTGGCACGGGTCAGTCCCACCTCGATGGCGTAGGCGAGGAAGCAGAGGAAGGAGGTGGTGGTGGCCACGGCCTGCCGAGCACACTTGTTGCTGCTGCAGGGGCTGCTGATGAAGGTGGCAGGGAAGACCACCGAGGCGGTGAAGACCATCAGCACCGCCAGCATGGAGAAAGCCGAGGTGAAGTCATCCCAGGAGAGCGGCAGCATGGGGTAGAGCTCCAGCAGCTCCAGCAGCAGCACCAGCAGCGTCACGATGAAGCAGAAGCACCAGGTGAACATGCACCACGTCCCAAAGGGACCCCCGAAGTTCCCCGTGGAGGCCACTAGGCTGAAGGTGAGGCAGGACAGCACGACGGCGCAGAGCCGGGCAATGCCCACCCAGGAGGTGAGGGCGAGCAGGTTCACCCTGGCCACGGCCATGGTCCCGCCGGCGCTCCCGGCCACGCCGCACGCCCCGGAACGGGCGCTGCCGGCAGCCGCTCTTATCTGGGTGCCGGAGCTGAGGGGTGGGGCACAGGGCAGGGAGCTGCCAGCCCCTCCAAGCCACTTGTGCTGAGGACCCCCGGCTGCTGCCACCAGCACCGCACACAGCTGGCCCGGTGGCTGCTGGGGGCTGGCGGCCACGCCGGCGGGTGGATCATTAACGCGGGGCCGGGCAAAGGGTGCCGGTGCTGGCGGTGATGACGAGCCCCACGGTGGGGCTGGGGCAGGCAGGAAACACCGTGTGCCACCGTCCTGGCACCGTGCCCCAGCCCTGCCCACAGCAGGAGGCACAAAGGGGCCTTTCATGCACCCCAGGAGCACCGGGGGGACCACCCGGACACCCCATCCCCACAGAGTGCCAGGGTTGGATGCCAGCGGGGCAGCACTCACGGGACCCACCTGAAGGGGTTGGGGGCTGAATCCAGTGTTGGGTGCCCCTGGCAGGGGGGTGCCACAGCTGGGTGTAGCCCCCTCACACCCTTGCAGGCGACACCTCCACACCCCTCTGACACCTCCACACACCTCTGGCACCTCCACACCCCTTCTGGCACCTCCACAACCTGATAAGTGGCTCAAAGTCCACCTGTGCCAGCTGCTATCACAGGTTAGAACGGGTGAGGTGACCATGGGGAGGGCACCCGCACCCTGCCCACCCTGGCACACCCCACGGGCAGCACCCCCACCTCCCCGGGGTGCCTGGGGGAGTCTCATCCCAGAGCAGCACAGGTGGCACATCAGAAGTGCAGAGTGCAGCAGGAGGAGGATGATGGCAAAGGCTGAAGGCTCCAGCCTGACCTTTAATGTCACACAGGGTCCATGGGGTCTGTGCCCACGGCAGAGCTTGGGGATGAGGGACCCACATCGGGGCAGCTGGGCACTGTCAGGGGTCACCTCAGCCCAAATTAACACGGGCTCCTCACCCCAGGCAGGGTCTGGGCACAGCCATGGTGGGCAGGAGTGGGCACTGCCACGGGGTCCAGTGGTGGCTCTGGGGGGCATGAGGTGGCTCAGAGGTGGCTGCCACCCTCACCTTTGCCAGGCAGCCCGTTGAGGGGGCTCAGCACTGGCCGGTTGCTCTCATTCAGCCGCCGCACGCGGTAGCTCTCGTAGTGGACATTGTGAGTGATGTCCTTCAGGTCCTGCAGGTGTGACCTGCTCAGGGTGGCAAGGGGAGGAAGGGCATCATGTCACTGTCCCCTCTGCCCTGCTGTCACATCAGGAATTCCAGCACCCCCTACCCGGTTCCCCACTCACCGGATCAGCAGGTCCCGCAGGAGGGGGAACTCGCAGTGTGCTGGGTTCTCCACTGCAAAGCAAGGCAGAGGGGCAGCAGGTGGGTAGTGAGCAGGCAAGAGGGCATGGTGGTGACTGGATGCCCAGGGAGCACATCTCAACGTGCTCCAGGTACCACCGGAGCACCAGCATGGCTCCGTGACACATCTCAGCACCCACCCAGGCAGGGACGCACCCCTGGGTGCTGCTCCCCGTAGCCCCAAGGGCCCCCCACGCCTGGGGAGGGCTGGAGGTGCAAAGGGCTCTGCTCACCTTCGATGATGCCCCACTTGGTCTTGCGGCCCAGCACCCGCTTGCCATTCACCTGGTGCTCCTGGTCTGCCCCCACCACGGCAAAGGGGATCTTCTCCTGCCAGTGCAGAGTGCTGTGCTCACCCCGGGTGCTCTGGGCTGCCCCAGAGGGTCTCTCCCCCACCCTTCTCCCCAGGGTTGGCACCCCCAATCCCAGCATCCTGGCACTCACCCGAATCCTGTCATTCAGTGCCCTGTCTTCAGGGTCCTGGTCAAAGTCCTCCTGTGGGTACACGCTGATGGCGTGGGTCTTCAGGTCCTCCTGGATCTGTGGGATACAGGACTTGAGCTGGGCTGGGGATACATGGGGCACCCCAGGAGTGCCCCAGGACCTGTCCTCACCCGCTGCTTGAACTCTGCCCGTTCCTCCAGGGTGAGTGTGTCGGCTTTGGCGATCACTGGCACCACGTTGACAATCTTGCTGAGCCGCCGCATGAACTCCAGATCCAGTGGGCGCAGCCTGCCAAGGACCACCACCATCACCCTCAGGTGACCCCACCACTGTCACCGTGGGGTGACCCCGCCACCATCACTCTGAGATGGAACCACACCATTGCCCTGGGGTGACCCCACCATCATCACCCCAGGGTGACACAACCATCCCAGGATGATGTCACCACCATTACCTCAGAGTGACCCCATCACCGTCACCCTGGGGTGACCCCATCACCCCATAGGTGCTGCAAGTGAGGACTCACCAGTGACCTGTGGGGGGGACAAAGTAGACACATCCATGGACCCGAGTGTCTGGGATCTTCCTCTTGCGGGTGATGAGGATCTCCTCCCGTAGGTACCTCTCGTACTGCTCGTTGATGTACTTGATGATGGGGTCCCAGCTGAGGACAAGTTGGGGGACAACATCTGAGCTCAACCCCCACCCCAAACTGTCATGCACCGAGCTGGGCTGCTGCACCCCACCGTGTCCTACCAGTTCTCATTGTTGATCTGGTCTCCAAACCCCGGCGTGTCCGTCACTGTCAGCTTCATCTTCACCCCCTTCTCCTCGATGACTGTGGGGCAGAGGTGGGTCAGTGGGGATGAAGCATTTGGGAGAAGGAGGGGACTCGGGGTGGGGGGGGTCAGAGGCTGCCCTCAGACCTCCCCCTGGTCCTCTGTTTCTCCCAGGTGCTGGTGGGACACGACCCCATGGTGATAACCTTACCATGGGTGATAGACTGGAGCTGCACTGTCTTGGGAATACGTTCCTCCTGCCCGGGCTGCGAGGATTTGCGGCTCACCTTGGACTTGAAGAGGGTGTTCACCATTGTTGACTTCCCCAGCCCACTCTGCCCTGAGGGGACACCGGCAGCTCTGGTTTGTCCCCCAGGGTGGTAACACCTTGATATCCATTTGGGAGCATTCCAGAGGTTGGGCTAGTTCAATCTACCTCCCAAATAAATTTATTCCCCAAGGCCATAATACTTCAGTATCCACTGGGAAGCATTCCGGATGTTGGGATAGCCCATCTTATCCCCCCAAGTAAATTTATTCCCCAAGGCAATAACCCCTTGGTAGACATTTGGGAGCATCCCAGAGGTTGGAATAGTCTGGTTTATCTCCCACATAAATTTATTCCCAAGGTGATAACACCTTGGTATCCATTTGGGAGCATCCCAGCGGTTAGGAAGAGCTCACCTATCAGCATCACTATGTTATGCTGATATGGGATGTTGGGGTAGGGATGTTACTCCTCTTCAATTCTTTGCTACTTAAATAATTTAAAATCCCTTAGATTTCCTTAAAATCCCTTAAAAGCATAATTTCCCTGGGCGTAGCAGAATCAGAGCCAGGATTCCCACCCCAGCCAGGAGCAAACCCTGGACCCAATGCTCACCCACAACCATGATGTTGAACTCGAAGCCCGTCTTCATGGTTTTGATTTTCATCTGGTCGAGCACGGCTTCAATTCCCACATATCCAAAGAGCTGGCAACCCACCGGGCCAGGCGCCACGGGGACGGGCACCTCCTCCTCCTCCTCCTCCGGCGCGGCCGGCGGCTCCATGCTGCACTCCTCGGGCTCCAAGCTGCTCCCTGCACGGGTGGACAAAGGCAGGTGAGCCCGGAGCTCCTGGTGCCCACCCCTCTGCCGGCACCGTTGCCCCAGCAGCAGCCGCTCCGGCGGGCACACAGCGGGCACACAGCCCCGGCACATTCCTGGAGGCCGGCGAGGCTCAGCGTGGCAACACGAACACGCCACCCCCCGGCACACCGAGGGTTCTGAGGAGGTGCCAGTGGCACCTTTGGGGTGGCTCTGTCACTGGACCCTCCCGATGCCCCCGGTTGCTCTGCGATGTGGCATCGGGCAGCATGGCCATGGCCAGCTTCCTTTGCCCGGCCCATGCCGTCACCCAGGACAAGGCCACCTCCTGAAGCACCGCTCCCGCCCCGGCACACCCTGAGGGCTCCCGGCCTGGGGCAGGAAGAGCCATCCCCCACTGTACCCAGGCATCGGTCACTGCTGGGCAAGGGGCACTAGGGGGGTCGGAGAGCGCAGCGCAGGCACCAGCACAACCTGAGCCCCCGGGACACGGGGCTTTGTCCGGGGAACCGTGCCCAGAGCATGCCCCAGCCTGGGGACCACCGGAGCCCTGCGCCCGCTCCAGCCCTTTGTGCGGCACCTTGGGGGGCCCCCAATCCCTTTCTTCCTCCTCCTTCTCCTCCTCCTTCTGCTTCCCAGCACGGCCATTGTTCAGGTCCTACCTCGGCGCCGCGGTGCCCTCGCTCAGCTCCTCGCTACGGTCGGGGGGGTCCCCCGGGTGCCATCAGCATCCCCAGCCCCAGCAGCGCCGCAGCCCGGCCCCCTTCCCTCCGCCAGCTCCCGGCTGGCACCAAACCGTCTCTGGCTCGGCTGCCGCTCCCACGCATGACCAGCATGGCAATATCCCGCCTCCCGCAGCCCCCTCCCCGCCACAGCCAAGCCCCTGTGCCCAGTTTGCCGGCTGACTGCTGAGTGCAGAAGGCACCGACCCCGCTGTGCCCACCGGACTGTGCCCACCTCAGCCTCCAGCCAGGCCAGCGTGGATGCAGACCACCCCCGCGGCAGAGGGACACCCCTACTCCCCCCCACGGCACCCATCGCCCCCGTGGGTAGTTGCAGTGGCACTGAAGGGGAGTGGGAGTGTTTGACTGTGGGTACCATCCCCCCTGGCACCCACACACTCCCTGGCACCAGGGACCACCCCAGTAGCACCCGTGCCCAGCCCTGGCACAGCAGGGTGGGATGAGGGGTGGTGGCCGTGCCACCCCCCCCACTGCCGCAGTGCCCCACAGCGCCTGCGTCCCCCCACGCCACAGTCTCCCCCGTATGTGCCAGCCAGCTCTTGGCACCAGCGAGGCCAGAGTGGCAGCTTGTGATGGCCCAGGTTGCCAGGTGTCCTGCCGAGGCCGTGTCCGTCTGCCACACAGCCAGGGGACCAGGGACATGTGGGCAGGGGCCAACCTGAGCCAATCTGGGGTACCAGATGATGGAGCTGAACACACCCGTTGCCATGGCAACAGCATCCAGGCGGGTGGGGGGGGCACTCAGCACCCTGTGCCCACTGGGTGGGCACCTTGCCAGGGCGATGGCAGGGTTGGGGACAGCAGTGTCACATGTGCCAGCTGCCCCCTGCCCCCGTGGGTCGGGGTGTTCCTCGGAAGTGGCAAAACAGCCATAGATTTCCTGGTGACAGCAGTGACACCCAGGTGGGGGGGCTGATAGCAGGCAGGGTGCCCAGTCTTGTGGGGATCCACCCACCCAGCACTGCCCCTCCTGATGGGGTGCTCCACAGGCAGGTAGGGAGGTGGGATGGGATGTCCCCATCAGGAAGGGGACCCTGACAACCACTGGGAGAGATGCTCATCCGGACAGGCCATTGCTCCTGGGGGACACTGCCCCCCCTGCACACCCACCCTGGCCCCGCTTCCCGGTCCTTGCCAGCCCTGGAAGTTGCCAGGACAGATCCAGAACCAAGTGATGCAGCCACTGCCTGGAGCCATCCCAGATGGCTGGACACTGCAGGCAGGGAGCAGGCAGGACTTAGTGCTTGCACCCCTCAACTCCCCAGGGTGGTCCCCAGAGTGCAGCACCCCTGCAGGGGCTCAGCCATCTCCCTGTGCTGTGCCAGTGGCAGCACCAAGGAGACAACCACAGCCGGAGGGCACGTCTGGTGGAGCTGAGGGGTGACACTGGATGCTGCAGCCACAAATGCCTCCCCCACAGGGTCAGAGCCCCCACTGCCCCAGCCCTTGGTGCCAAAAAGCCCCGTCAGCGATGGCCAGCAGCCGGGTGGCCACGTGGAAGCTCTTCGGCATCCCCACGGAGCTCTGGGGCAAATGGCTCCTGCAGCCAGACCTGTTCCAGGACTCATCACAGATGCTCTTATTTTCCAGGCAGGGACAAGTAATCCCAGGTCCGTGGTCTCCTCCATGCATTTAATTACTGATGCGGGGTTAATTGGCCAGTTCCCAGGGAAGCTTGTAATAAGGCTCCAAGGGTGGAGGGTGCTGGGAGAGGATGAGCCGGGAGAGGAGCTCCCAATGCACTGTTCCCACTCCCACTGTTTGCCACTGCATCAAATTGGGCATGGGATGGGGAGAGATGGGCTTTGGATCCTGTGCAAGGGAGCTGACCCCTCTGGCAAAGGGATGGAGGATTTGGGGGATGCACCCACCACACCACAGCTCTACCCGCCCAGCCCAACATGACCCAGAAATGCTGATGCCTTTCCCAGTGCCAAACATATCCCAAGGGGACAGTGGTGACAATCCCCATGTGCAGTCAGACCCAGAGCCAGCCCACCCGTCTGGCTGGTGCAGGAGGGAGCCATGGGACGGGGACGGGGGTGGCTGGGGACCGTCACTGAGCAGAAGCAGAAGTGAACCATTGAGCGAAACCCTGCGCCTGCAGCACCGCTGGGGACTGGGGAGCAGGGACAGTCACCCAGCCCCGGTGACAGCACCCCCCTGCCCGCACACCGCCCTTCCCGGTGCCACCACACCATCCCTACCTGGGCGAGCCGGCCAGAGCCGGGGTTGTTGCTGCCGAGAGCTGGTCACTGGGGCCAAATGGCTCCTGGGGTGCAAGGCGGAGGACGGCTGCGGCCCACGGCTCCTCCTCCGCTCCTCCTCCTCCTCCTCCTCCTCCTCGCCCCAGGCCCTGCGTGGGCGACCCGGCGTGGAAGTGAAACACGGCAGCCGCCGGCTCACTTGGAGCTTCCTCCCACGGGGTGTGGGACCAACCCAGCGTGCCACAACACCCCAAGGCCACCCACGGGTGTCAGCGGCTGGGGGCCGGGGTGGCCTCCCGGGAGAGGAAACAGATCGTTCCCACCTCTTCTTGGCAGAGAAACCGCTGTGCCTGAGTGGCATCTGCCAGTCCCCTGCCAGTTCCGGGCCATCTGCAGGGCAGCCGGTGCCCACACGCTGCCCGCTGGCTCGTGTCCCACCCCGTAGCCTGGGCACGCCACGCTCGACTGCCTGCCACCAACACAGCTCCATCCTGAGCACTGCATGTGTCCCCATCACCTCGGATAGGTCCTGAGCACAGCGTTCCGGTGTCACCATAACCCTGGATCAGTCTGGAGCACCATGTCCCCATTTCCCCATCACCCTGGCTTGATCTCGAGCACTGTGTCCCTGTCACAGCCCTGAGCACTGTCCCCATCTCCTCGTTAACCCAGGTTGTCACTGAGCACTGTGTCCCCATGTCCCTGTCACCCTGCCTCAGGACCAACCACTGTCCCTGTGTGTCCCCATGCCCCTGACTCAGCCCTGAGCACCATATCCCTGTCCCCATCACCCATCTCAGCCCCGAGCGCTGCCCCCAGTGTCCCCATAACCCTGGCTCAGCCTCAAACTCTGTTCCTCCGTGTCCTCATGACCCCGGCTCGTCCGGAGCCCTGTCCCTCCTCCCGGCCGGGTGCCGCGGGGCAGCCGGGCTGGCTGGGCAGCGCACGGGCATTGCTGGGGGATGATTCACCGCAGCCCGGAGCAGATGTATGGATGCCTTTGCCGCGTTAGTACTTAGGGCCCGGCGACGGCGGCCCCACGACAGCCCAGCGAGACGGGCAAGGAGCCCCAAGCACCCCAACAGGGAGCCCCGGCGGCAGAGGCCGTCTCCCGGCCACCCCGGCGCCCTCCCGGAGAAGCTGCCGGGAAGTGAAACACGGGGAATCCCTCACCCCATGCTTGGGGACGGGCATGGGCTTGGCAGAGCCCACCCCGGCACGGTGGGAGCCGGGGGCACGGCAGCGCCGGGGAGCCCGGCATCGTTCCCCGTGGCACTCGGTGTGCGCCGAGCACGCCCCGGCGCTCCTTGGCCCCCCGCCACCTCCTGCGCCCCACGGGAAGGGAGGAACAGGATCCGCTCCCGTGCCAAGGCGAGGAGGGAAGATTGGGGAAGAAAGCGCTGGACGCGGGACAAGATCCCGGCGATAGGCGGCACGCGCGGGGCCCGGCGCGATGGGGCACATGTGTCCCGACCTGTCTCCCCGTGCCGGGAAAAACAATTAGCGCCGGGGCGGCGTGGGAAGCTCGCCAGGCACCCCGGGGCCGGGAGTGCTGCCAGCGCTGAGCTCGGCTCCGCGCTCTACAGCCGCCCCCCATCCAACGCTCTCCACGGCCCCCCGGCATGAGGAGCAGTGAGCTGGCAGGGCTCCTTCTGTCCCCAGCATCACCGTCACTCCACATCCACGCTCTCCCCGGCATCAGCGGTGGGGGTATCTTGGCAACGCTGCGCCCACCAAGGGGTCTTGGTGGGGAGAGGGGACAGAAGAGGAAGCGAGTCCTACCGTGCTCTGGTGTCCCCGCTGCCCCGCTGCCGTCTGCAGCCTTGCTGGGAGCTGCTGCCACCACGCAGGGTCCCCGTGGTCCCACCAGCCCGGTGCTGGGGGGGTTCCCTCTGGCTCCACGGGGCGCTGCCAGTGTCCCCATTGTCGGCACCAGCACCAGCCCCCCGAGGAAGGCGGGCTGGGAGCTCACTTGCACCGTCTGTGGCTGTGACACCAGCTTGAAGGTGGCGGCTTGGGGGGCTGGCAGTGGGGGCAGCCCCTCGACCCTCCCCGGGGAGGGGGCGGCGGGGGCCGGCGCTGCCTCGCCCTGGCCCCAGCACAGCGGCGGGTGCCGGCGGGACGGGATGGGGCTGGCACTGAGGGTGACCCTCAGCTGCGGCCGGGGCAGCATGCGGGGGGCCACGTCCCACCCCCCCGGCCCCTCGGGGACTGTGGGCAGCCCTGGCGCTGCCTCTGTGCCATTGTACGGGGCCAGGGAGGAGGAGGAGGAGGAGGAGGAGGAGGAAGGCTGGTGGGTGCGAGGCTGGGGTGCAGGGCTCGGGGTGCCCCACGGCGAGGGGTCTGGCACGGGGGTCCCTGGCTCCTCGGCGATGTGCAGGTCCAGCGCTGGCAGTGAGCCATGGCTGGCGGCAGCCCCACAGAGAGGGTGATCCAGCGTCCCTGGGAAAACGCTTCCATGGGATGGGACCTTCTTCAGGCCAGGGCTGGTGGCTGGGGGGGTGCCTGGTGGCAGGAGGGGCCTGGTGGGTGCAGGGCTCTCCAGGCTGGAGGATGAGCTGCGCAGGCTCTCGCCATCGCTTCCCGGCCCCGTGGCAGAGGCCTGGCAGGTCTGGAAGGAGGCGGTGCGGGCGATGCCGGTGCCGGCAGTGCCGTTGGCTCGGCCAGTGGCACGGCTGGCACTGAGCCGGGTCTGCAGCACGGGGCTGGGCGCTGGGCTGGGGCCGGCGGCAGTGCCCGAGCAGGGGGGGTGGCTGGACTGCAGCGACCGCTGGTTCTCGTCGGTGCCCGAGGACAGCGGCAACACCAGTGGGGAGCCGGGCGCCTCATCCCCATCCTCTGCCTCAAACGACTTCTTGAGTGCTGTGGGCAGAGGGATGAGAGTGGCATGAGAGTGGCACCTGATGGCACCCACTAATCTCTGCCCTGTCCCCAGCCCCATGTAAGTCCCCCCAGCACCTGCAGGTGCCCCTCGCTTATGAGCTGGTCCCACCCAGGACCCACAGTCAGCTCCCTCCCAGCCCTGCTGCATTGTCCCGGGTTTTATCATTGTTCCCAGGTTTATCTCGCCCGGGTGGCCGTGCCTCCGGCTGCCCTCGCACACACTGCCCGCTTTATTCCCCCTGTAAGGGATCTGGCCGAGTAACCAGATCCCTGCCCGACCCTCTCCCCCTGCATCCCTCCAACAGTCGGGATGGGAAGGATTCCTGCCCTTTACAGGGCGTTAACCCTGAAGCCTACTGATGGCAGGCAGGCAGAGCTATCACCACACGCAGCAGGACCGTCACAGCTCTGCCTCCCATGCGGCTTCACAGCAGCCGTGAGCCCACGGTACTGCCCTGGGGTGCGAACATGCCCCCCACATGGATCCCCCAACCTCAACGTGGGTGTCACAGGGCCTGGCTCCAGTGCAAAGCCTCAGAGGTGGGGACCCTCTCTCCCCAGGTCTGACTCCCGTGAAGACCCCACTGTGCAGCTGCCCCCTCCCTCCAGCCCCGGCCCGGGGCCCCCCCGGAGCCGCGCTCCTGCCGGCGCTGTCAGAGCGGCACAGTGCGGTGCCGGCAGCCGGTCCCGTGGCCCCGGGGGGAGCGCGGGGGGCCCAGGCCTCCCCCAGCCTTCCTCTCCCCCTCTGCCAAGCGGTGGGTGGCTGCCTCCCTCCAGGGAGGGTTGGGGGGCCCGCACTGCACCCCTGCATCCCCATGGCACTGGCACGTGTGCCAACCTGCCCCAGCACAGCGCCCGCTGGCACCGGGCCGCCCTCGCCCTCCTCTTCCTCGGCCCCACGGCTTGGCCATGGTGCGGGGGGCAGCGGGGCTGTGGGGGTCCCATCCCCATCCCCTCCCCGGCTCCCCCCGTGCCCGGGGCAGGGCAGGGGTCAGAGGCCGGGCTGTGGGTGCTGCTAATCACAGCTCTCCCCAGGGCAGGTATTTCTGTGGCCAGTCCTGCCCGGTCCCACCGGCCGGGCTGCTGGGGCCACGGGGTCATAGGGCCGGCGACCCCCGCCCCAATCCATCTCTCTGCTTTGGCACTGCCTGGGGCACCCCAAATGCCTCCTTTCATCCCAAACATGCCCCTGGCCCCTGACCCATCCTCACCCAGATCCCAGATGGTGTCCCTGATAGGCAGGGAAGAGGGGGAGCAGTGGGGGGGATGCAGGACAAGGTGGGGGGGTGGGAGGTGGCAGGGGGGTCGAAGGGTGGCAGGGGGTGTGCAGGGTGGCAGGGGGCTCTGGGGGATGTTGGGAGGTGAAGAGGAGGTGGCAGGAGATATAGGGGTTTAGCAGGGGTCTTTGAGGGATGGCAGGGAGTTTGGGGGAGATGACGGAGAATTTTGGGGTGCTGGCAGGGATTGAGGGGGTGTCAGCCGGCAGCGGTGGGGTTAAGATGCTCGGGGTAGGTGCACACATTCCTCCCCGGCGAGGGCAGCAGCAGCCCCGGGGTCGGGTTTCGCCGCCCGCCCCCGGCCCGGCCCCCCCGCAGCCCCCGGCCCGCGGGTGGGAGCGCGCACACACGGGGAGCGCGCACCCGCACCCACGCGAACACGGGGGGGTCCACACACACCTCCCCCACCCTCCCTGCAGCGCTTGGTAGCCTCCCCCTTGCCCACCCCACGGTCGCACCCCCCGAGAGCACCCACGCACCCACCACGCGCAGCCCCCGGGCGGGGGGGAGGAGAACAACCCCCCCCGACGTCCGCAGGGGATCCCGTCTCTCCACGATGCTCAGCACCCACAAGACGCCCCGCTCAGCACCACCCCCCCCGATATTCAGCCCGCAAGGAGGGCGCGCAGCCCCCCACGATGCCCAGTCTGGGGGGGGACCTCTCGTTTCCCCGCGATGCGGAGCCCCCGGCAGGTATTACCCTCCCCCTCCAAATCCAGCTCCCGGGGGGAAGCGCAGCCCCCCCCCATGCTCAGCCCCCCCAGACCCTCAGCCCAGCAGCATCTCCCCCGGAGCGATACCCAGCGCACGCTGCTCACCCCCGGGGGGCACTGCGGCCCCCCCAAAACCCCCAGCCAGCAGCATCCTCCCCACAACCAGCCTCCGCGCGGGGGGGGCGCAGCCCCCCACGATGCTCAGCCCTCGGGGGAGCACCACAGCCCCCCAAGACGCCCATTCAGCAGCATCCTCCCCTCCGGGGGGAAATCCCCCCTTCCTCCCGCGACACCCAGCCCCGAGCGGGGGGTCCCCCGCGCGCGCTCTCGCAGCCCCGGCCGCACCTTCGAAGTCGGAAAGGATCCCGTCCAGGTGGTCCTTGACGGAGAGCCGGGCCATGGCGGGGCGGGGGTGGCCGGGGGCTGCCGCCCACCCGGGACACCCGCATTGGGTGGGGGCAGCGCCGGGGGAGCGGAGCGGAGCCCACCGAGCCCCGGGACGGGACGGGCCGGCGCCGGCTGCCCTGGGCGGGAGGGGAAGGAGGAGGGGACCGGCCGGGGGAGGGGAGGGGAGGGGAAGAGAAAGGGAGGGGGGAGGTCCCGCCTGCGCCCCCGCCCCGGCCCGAGACCCCCCCGCCTCGCCCAGCCCGGCTCCCGGAGCTCCGGCGGCCCTGCCGCCCCCGCCCCCATCCCGGGGCACTGGGATGCTGCAGCCCCAGGCTGGGGGTCCCCGGGAAGGCTGGGGGTCCCAGGCAGAGAGGCTGTAACGGGGGGCTGGCCAGGCTAGGGAAGTTCCAGGCAGCTGGGGTAGAGGTTCTGGGCAGGCTGGGGCAGGGAGGTCCCAGGCAGGCTGTGGATCCCGGGGGGACTTTGCTCCACAAGGTTCTGCTCCCCCAGGAATTTCCGTCCTGGAGCAAGAGGAGGAAGATGGGTTGGAGCAGGCAGGGCTGCCTGTCACTGCCTCCCGGCTGGGCGTGGGGGGGTCTGTTGGAGTGTCACCAGCCTCTGGTGTGATGCTGTACCTGCCAGGGGTTGTGTCCCATGCTGGAACTCCTGGAGCATCCTGAGGACCAGCTGCAGGGGACCCTACTCCTGCCCACCCGGTGACTCAGGCAGCACCTCGGGGTGAGAGGCTGCCCTGGGGCTGCCCCCCTTAGCCCAGGGTGAGGGGCATCATCCCTCCCAGCCCGGCTGCTACAGATCAACCCTGTCCCAGCCCCATCCTGGGATGGGATCGGCAGCAGATGTGGAAGAGGAAGGAGCTGGAAATCCCTTCTCCAAACAGGGTCCTGCAGCAAAGCTCTGCCCTCACCACCCTGCAGGGAACACCCGGCAGTCGGAGCACATGGAGCACATTCCTGTGCTGGATGGGGCAGGGGCACAGCCAGGACATGGCCATGGGGTCCTGCTGGATCCTGCTGTAGAGACACAGAACACGACCAGGGAACGTGGGACAGGTCTGTCGTGGCCTTGGTCATGTCCAGGCTTTGGGAGCATCTGAAGGCGCTCACAGAATCACAGGATCATTTAGGTTGGAAAAGTCCTCTGAGATCATCGTATCCAACCATTCCCCCAGCACTGCCAAGGCCACCACTAACCCATGTCCCCAAGTGCCACATCCACATGGCTTTTAAATCCTCCAGGGATGGGGACTCCACCTCTGCCCTGGGCAGCTGTGCCAGTGCCTGACCACCATTTCTGCGAAGAAATTTTCCCAATATCCACTTAAAATCTCCCCTGGCACAACTTGATGCAATTTCCTCTCCTGTCCCTTGTTCCCTGGGAGCAGAGCTCAACCGCCCCCCCAGCTCCCCCCTCCTGTCAGGGAGTTGCAGAGCCAGAAGGTCCCCCCTGAGCCTCCTTTTCTCCAGGTTGAGCCCCCCCAGCTCCCTCAGCTGCTCCTGGTGCTCCAGACCCTTCCCCAGCTCCATTCCCTCTCTGGACACGCTCCAGCCCCTCCATGGCTTTCTTGCTGTGAGGGGCCCAGAACTGCCCCCAGGACCGGGGGTGTGTTGGGGTGCTGAGCCCACTGAGCTGGGTGGAAGGGCCGGAGTGTGGCAGGAGCTGGGCTGGGACCAGCTCTGGAGCTGTTCTGAAGGATGCAGAGACCTTTGGAGCCTTAGGACTTTTCTGGAGCAGTTTTGAAGAGGCTGGAGAGGTTTCAGGCTGTTCAAACTGCTTTTCAGAGGAGGCAAAGAAGAGCTGGAACACTTTGGAGCAGCTATGAGTATTTTTTGATGAGTTTTTGAGCAGCTTTGGAGCTCTTTCAGTGTTGCTTGTGCCCCTCTGGTGTTGTTCAGAGGGGCTTTAGGGTGGTTTCAAACCGAGAAGTTTAGAGATGTTACTGAAAAGTTTTAATGCTGTTGAGAGGTGCATGGAGAAGGCCTGGAGGGGCTTCAGGGGCCTTTTGGGGGGTGCTGGAGCACTCAAAGTGTTTCACAACCACACAGAGGAGGCGTGGAGTGCTTCAGAGCTGCCACCAGACCTTTTCTGTGATCCATTTTGAGCTATTTCAAGGAGCTTTAGAAGAGTTTAGAGGACTTCAAGTGCTACTTCGAGGCAGTTTGGGGCCTTTTAGGACTGGTTTGAGGAGCACGAGAGCTATTTGAGCAATTCAAGTGGTTCAGTGCTGCCCAGAGCTCTGTCCTTCCACAGCACAGATACTACCAGAGCTATTTAATTATCCCATTTCTAGAGCAGCTTCAAGTTGTTGGAGGTTGAGATTTCAGAGGAATTTTTTTAAGGATGTTTTAGAGTTATTTAGGGAAATCTTTGGTGCACACTAGAGCTACTTGGAGGGTGTAGAGCAGTTTGGAGTGGTACAGAGGTTCTTTAGAGATGCTCAGAAGTGCTTTAGAGGTGCTCAGGGATGTTTTAGAGCAGCTCAGGGGTATTTTAAAGCAGCTCAGGGATATTTTGGAGTAGCACAGGGACACTTCAAAGCACCTCTGGGGTGTTTTACAGCCGCTCTGGGATGTTTTGGAGCAACTCAAGGGACATTTTAGAGCATCTCGGGGCATGTTTTAGGGCAGCTCCGGGATGTTCTGGAGCAGCTCTGGGTTGGTTTAGGGCAGCTCAGGGACATTTTGTAGCCTTGGTGCTGCTCAGAGCAGTGTGGAGCACTTTGAAACAATTTGGGGGGTTTCAGAGCACTCAGGGTGTGTCAGAGCCAGTCCCCAGCACAGAGGCCCTTGGAGCTCTTTGCAGCAGCTCCGGGGCTGCTCGGAGGAGTTCAGAGGAACAGGCTGGAGCTATCCGGAGGCACGGCAGGAGCCGAGAGGGAATTTTGCACGTTCAGGCCCTTTGGGGCGGCTTATAGGGGCGGGGAGGGGGTGGGGGGAGGCTTAAAGGGGTGTGGAGCAGCTTAACAGGGTGGGAGAGAGCGTTTAAGGGATTTTTGGAGCAGTTCAGAACAGTTGAGTGCTCTGAGGGGTTTTTCCCGGTGTAAAAGGGAAAGCTCTGTGTTCCTGCCTGGAGCAGCCCCCACGTGTGTCCCTGTCTCAGCCTGCCCAATCCCTGGGCAGCAGGATCAGCTCCACAAGTCCCTCATCCCATGTGGACCCTCCAGGAAGGTGAAGGGAGAATGCCCCCATTCCCATGCACAGCTGGGCTGGGGGGAAGATTTTGGCTCCCTCTGACCTTGACCCCTCCGGAGTGAGCCAGGTCCAGCCTTCCCCATCCTCATCCTCCCAAAATCAGGGCACTCCAGCCAGGTCCAGCCT